TTGGGGACAAATAATCCCGTGGCAGGCCAGAAAATGAAGTGATAGGCGGGGCCAAGGAAGGCCCCCGGCTTCCTCCAGTAACTCAGCTCCCACCTGGCTATGAGAACCTGCTGTGCGGGATTCCAAAACTCTATGTGCCCCAGTTTCTCCATCTGGAAATGGAGGTGCACTGCAGCCTGCCAAGAAGGGTAGGTGTGGAAAGGGACTAATAAAGAGGAGGTGCTTAGGCCCTAAAACCAGCAACTCCCCTGCTTCAAATGGCTGCCTGGCATGGTGTTCGCTACCAGCAGGGGCTCTGGGTCAAACAGGCTGGGCCCACGTCCGAGCAGAGTGGGACTCAGAGCAGCTGGGTTCCCCTGTGACCTTCTGTCATGAAGATTTAATACCATGTGCGGGCACTGTGCTAACTACTCGGTACGGAAGTGCTCAGGCAGTGCTGGCTGCTTCTGCCGGGCGTGCAGGTGCTGCAGTTAACACAGAACCACCACCGCCGCGGTGTGTGCCGTTATGGGACACCCAGATGCTCCCCTTCGGGACCCGCTGGCACTGCTGCTGAGCATGGCCTCAGCGGTCAGCCCCTCCAGGATTTCCTCAGTATAAGCCCAGGGTCACAGCAGCAACCCGGGGTGGTCTGCGTCCAGTGACTGCTCACCAGACAGGAATAAAGGCTGGTCCTCTGCCCCAAACTGGGGGCGGCCCCGACTTCAGAATTCTGCAACACAGGTGGCCTTCGCCCTCTGCCTGCTCGGTCCTCCTCAGGGACACTCCCACATGCCATTCCTCGTCTAGGGGGACCCAGCCCACCTGCTCACCTCCTCCCCCTAGTTAAGAAAACAAACACGGAAAAAGGCATTAATCTCGGACACTCTCTCAGACCCTGGGGCTCACTGGCCCCGGTTCCCATACGTTCCAGGACAGGGGCCTGAGGTGTTCGGAGAGGTCAGGGGAAGTATCCCCACTAGACACCGAGGGGCAGTGGGGGCTGCAAGCCTGTCCCTCTGAGGAGGAAGAGCCCATACTTCTGGGTGAGTCAACTGCTGATCGACCTCCTGCTTGCAGGTCAGAGGCCACACACCCTGGGAGGGCTCACTGTCTTCTGTCCCCTGAATCCCTCCCCTTGGTGCCGGCAAGGCCAAGTGCAGATGCAGTGTGGGAAGAGACACAAGCTAGGGCTTCTGGGGACCGGAGCAAACAGCCGTGCAGATGTAACGGAGTGCCATTCTTGTCCCTAAAGGACAACAGGGAACAGAGGCAGGAGGTGGCCGCTGTGGGGTAAGGAGTGCAAGAAAATTCTGCCCTGATGTCTGTCTCATGATGGCGAGTGTGGCCTGCGTGGGTCCCCCGAGCCTGGCCGACTGAGCCCTCACAAGGCCAGGCCCAGTCCCAGGTAGTTTTCCCCGCACGGCAGCTGTCACGGCTCCGGGGGCACATAGGTGGCTTTCAAACACCTGGGGTTAAGGACCAGGCAAGACCCCGGGCTGCGCAGTGGGTCTGGGTGAGAAGTTTGATGAGTGCTGAGCAAGAGCTGTGACGACAGGGACAGGTCAGTGGTCGGGGCTCCTGCAGGAGCCAGCCAGAGGCAGCGCCGGCCCGAGAGGTGTCCTCAGCTTCTGCTGCTGAAGCATTTTCCTTGTGATAAGATAATGGCAAACAGGGAGCTGAGGAGGTGAAGGAAGGATGGGACAAGGTGGCTGTGGGAGGATTTTATTTCCTTGGGCTTATCACCCGATTCCAAATGCACATTCTGTCAGGCCAGGGATGCGGGGCCCACTTGCTCCACATGTGATTTGTGCTTCTGTTGTGATACGTTCTTTTGTAAAAACACTCTCCCCTCCCCTAACTGCTCTGAGTCACTGAAGTATTACCCCAGTGCTAGCACCCAGATCAAAGAGAAATTCCTCCTCAGCTGGGGAGAGGGGCTGGCAAAGGTGCCCGGGCCAAAGCTCCCACCCGCGCAGAGGCGCTGGGGAGCGGGTTTCTGTACAGGAGGGAAGGGAGGCGGCAGTGAGGTTCTCCCTGTTCAAACATCTAGACACACCTCCCCTCCTGTCCCCCCCTTCTCCCACCGTAGCAACACCAGGCTGGGCCCTCATCAGCGGCACCCACTCGGGCCACTTCGTGGGTGGGCAGCCTGTGCAGTCAGAAGGGCTCTGCTTTGGGTTGAATGCTCTGCTGTCATCTTGAAATTCTTAGCAGCTGCTGAGTAAGACACCCTGCCTGTCATCTTGTTCTGGCTCCATAAATCATGGAAGGGGTCTTGCATCTACCACAGGAATTTGAAACTCCACAGGGCAGAAGGAGGCCAGGGCGGGCCCTGCTTGGCTGAGGCAGGACCACGCATGCACTTCGGCCTCTGCCCACGCACCTGCCTGCGCACGCCCACCAGAAGTCCTGGCTTGGGGAGGGTGAGCGAGGACGACCCTGGGTGGTGGCCCAGACCTCACAATAGGAAACGCTCCCCCCACCCAGTCACAGAGGGACTGTCTCCCCATCTCTGCACCCAGCGCCTCTGGCAAAAGGGAATAGGCTCCACCCACAGCAGGAGGCAACTGGGTTAGAAATAAGGCAGAACTTTCCCTGGCACCGGGGAGCCTGATGTCCTGAGTGCGAATCCACCTCTGTCGGATACTAGCCACTTGAGAGTCGGTGGCCCTCTCAGGTCCCTTAGGCAACCAACCTCTCTCCCTACAGAGTTGCAAGGGTTAAATGAGATCACTTATCATCTCCTCCAGCCCAGGGCCTGACACAGAGCAGGAGATTAAAAACACCTTTTCATTCACTGATATTCAAAAGACAATGGCAACAATGCTGCCTAGAGGCTCTCATGAAGCTTCCGGGGCTACACATTCTCACAACCAGGGCCCTGCTCAGGGGGCCCTTGCCCGCCCTGAAAACGAACACGCAGCAACATTCTTAACAAACCCACCCCCTTGTGCAGACACTGGGGAAGGAGCAGAGTCTGAAATCAGTGCTCCTAGGTTTGAGTACCTGCTCTGAATTTAGGTGTAGCAGTTACCCTTCTGAGCTTGGGTGATCGCATCGACAAAATGGAGATGATGGTGATGATGTAATAAGAAAAACTAACATTCACATATAGTTGAAGATAAACAATCCTATAGGAAGTACTGGGTTGGCCAAAGAGGTCATTTGGTTTTTTTTCCCATAAGATGGCTCTAGTAGTGCTTAGTTGTCTTTGACTTCACTCAAAACAATTTTGTCAGACTGTATTGTGACAGATGTCATATCAGCATGTGTTAAAAAAGAAACTTACCAAAATTGGTGAATTTTTTGTGCAGCTACTTTAACATTGAAGATGGAAGAAAATATGCAACATTTTGGACATATTGTACTTTATTATTTCAAGGAAGTGTAATATTATGCTTTGTTATTTAAAAAATAAAGCTGAAATGCAGAAAAAGATTTGGTTGCCATGCTCAAAATATCCAAATCAATTAAGTTCTTGGTGAAAATGAAAAATGTGTCCTTCATTATGGGAGAAACTAAACAGACTTTTTGGCCAACCCAATGATAATATCATCCCCATTTTACAGATGAATAGACTGAGGCCTCCAGGAGTTAAGTGACTTTCCCAAAGTTACAACCACTCTCCTGAGGCTGCTGTGATGATGTGATAAGACAGTGACATGGAAGCCATGAACGACAGGTGTCATGAGGGCCATGATTCAGGAAAAGTGAGTCGCTCACCACCGTCCCTCTCTCGGCTCTCACTCCTGTGCCACGCAGGACAAAGGCAGCAGCTCTACACCGCAAGCTCTTCTCTTCCCTCCTTGCCTCGCTTTCCTCCTCACCCTCCACCCCCTCCCAGCCCTTCTCAACAGGTACACCATCCACACCGGTCTTCTGCCCAATTTTCCTTTGTCCCTCTTGAGGACACGGTAAGTGATGAATGAGAAGCCGACTACCAGCTACACTCAGGACGCCACCCCCCTCCTCCCACCCCGGCAGCGTGATTCCCACACTTTTAAGTCAGCCTGCTGGCTCAAACAGGAGACAGACAGTCAGCGCTGGGTAACTGCTTCTAATCACAGGTGACAGCACGAATGTAAACAACGCAAGAAACATCTAAACGCAATCCAAGTGGCAAGGAGACACTGCTCACTAAGGCACGTCTCCAGAACACTGCTTCCTGCCACACTGGCTTTGGAAGCCCTGCTCATTAATGCCCCCGCTCATTAATGTCCATTAATAAGAACCCCGGAAACCAGGAGCTTCCGGGGAACAGGCTCCTTTGACCCTACTTCCTCTGGGGCAGATTTTCTAGGACAATTTTCTGTTTAAAGCTGTCATTTTAACATGTTCTTTGGGGGAGGGGGGAGGCCAGGGAAAGGGAGGTTAGAGACCCCTTTGAGACTCTGTTCAAAGCTAGCGATGCTTTCCCAAGAAAAGCGCGAACATAAAACATTGTATGAGTGTCATTTCAAGGGTTCACAGACCCCAAGCTGAGACTCATTTTCTAAAATATGGATGGGACAGTAGACCACAGAGCAAATGCAAGAGCAGATGCACTCGAAACATTCCAGAGGCACAAAAGGGCATTTCCTAGTCTGTGATGGCTTCATGTGTCGTGTAAACCTACAAGCCTTTTCTTTCTCTTTTGGCTCCTTAGATTGACAGTGTGCTTCTAAACCACGTCCTCCAATGCAAATTGGAAACTCAATCGAGTAATTGCTGTGAATAATTTCCACTTGGATCACTTAATGCCGAGGTCTAGCAAGGACTAAGCAAGCTGGGATTAGAAAGGTATGTCTGAACTATTTTGGGTGTGGCTGCATAGTTCAGTGACAGTCCCCAAGCCAAGAGGAAATGGGTTTTTGAACTGTTCCGTAACTGGATTCTTTATGCTATTGTGGCTGTACAACAGAGTTTCAACAGAGGCTCAGCTCCCCCTGCTCGACTTCGGGATATTTACTGCATCCTTTGCCTGTGGGACTGGAGTGAGAAGAAGTGGAGGGGCGATCTTTGTAAACTGGGGGTCTTACCTCTGTGCCTGTTGGTGGTCTTATCAAACATCAGCATTGCATCCTCCACCTGCAAAACAAGCACAAAATAGAGGCTGCTTTAGGAATGTAACAAAACACACAAAAAAGTCTATAGGGGAGGGGGTCCATTATGAAAGCCACAGTTGCTCATTGAATACTGTTTGAAAATACAAAAACTTGGGGAAAAATCACTTGCTTTTGTTTTTTTCATCAAGCACAACCACAGTTAATATCTGGTGTATTTATTTCCCCCTCTAGTTTTCGCTTTAAAAAAATGATCCCTATTATAATATAGTTTCAATCATATTGCATATGAAATTTTCCCTTGTTCTTTTTTACATATAACACTACAATATTGCAAACAACTCCCAGATTACGACATTATGTTTTTTTCCCATTTTTTTTTTTTGTATTACGGTAAAATATACCTAACATAAAAACCGCCACCTCAACCATTCCATTTTTAAGGGTACAGTTTGGTGGCGTTACATAACATCCATACTGGTGCGTGGCCATCCCCAGCGTCTGTCCCGTCTTTCTTCAGAGCCCTTCCTCTAGCCAGACTGAAGCTCCACACCCACTGAAGAACAAGCCCCCTTCCCTTCTCCCCTCGGCCTGCAGCCGCCTTCCTGCTTTCTGTGATGTGGCCGTGGCTTCTCCAAGTATTGTCCCTCAGTAAGTAGAATCGCATGGCACCTGTCTTTCTGTGCCAGGCTTACTTCACTTTGCATGACGTCCTCACGGTTCACCCACACTCCACTGTAGGTACACACCCCATTTTGCTTACTATCTGCCCACAGATGAACACTGGGTTTTGGCCACTGTGAATAAGGCTGCTGTGGGCACGGGTGCACAAATATCTCTTCCGGTCTCTGCTTTCACCTCTTTTGTGTATATACCTGGAGATGAAGCTCCCAAGTGAGATGGTAATGCTATTTTTTTAAGTTTTTTTGAGGAGCTGCCACTCTGTTTCCACAGCAGCTGCTCCCTTGATGTTTCCAGACAATGTGCAGGGTTCCAAGTCTCCACGCCCTGGCCAGCACTTTTTTTTAATGGTAGTCATCTAATGGGGTGAAGTGTTGTGAATATTATCTCTGCTGCTACGTGATATTTTTATGGGCTGAGAAGCTGTAGCTTACTTGATTATCCTTCTGATGAATATTGAAATTGATTCCAGTTATAAACAATGGAACTTCAACATCTTGATTGTTATGGGCTGAATTGTGCCCCCCCCCCATTCATATGTCAAAGTCCTAAGCTGCCCCCCCCACTCCTCAGAATGTGACTATATTTGAAGATAGGGTCTTTAAAGAGGTAATTAGTTTAAAATGAGGTAAATTAGGGTGAGCATGGATCCAGTACAACAGGTGTCCTCTTAAGAAGAACACCCTGGCTGGTGTGGCTCAGCTGACTGAGCACCAGACTGCAAGGCAGGGGGTCACTGGTTTGATTCCCAGTCACGGCACATGTCTGGGTTGCGGGCCAGGTCCCCAGTAGGGGGCAACCACACATTGATGTTTCCCTCTCTCTCTCCCTTCCCCTCTCTCCAAAAATAAATAAATAAAATCTTTAAAAAGAAAAAGAAAGAAGGGGAAACCTGGACACAGTCAGGTACAGAGTGAAGACACAGCAAGAGGGTGGCCATCTGCAAATCAAGGACTGAGGCCTCAGAAGAAACCAACCCTGCCTAGATCTCGGACCTCCAGCCCCCAGAACTGTGAGAAAAGTTCATTTCCGTTGTCTAAGCCACCCAGTCGCTGGCACTTTGTTATGGCAGCCCCACAACAAATACACTTCCTGATACACTGGTGCTAGCACCTTTTCCAAACACATCATCGCGGAGGAGAAAACACCCCAGGCAACCTCTGTCTCCCGCCGAGTCCCTCCCTCAGTGCTCCCAAACACCCTGCGACCCTTCTGGACTTTTCTAGCAACGAGATTTCAAGATTCAACCTCCATTCCCACGTAGAGGTCAAGCAGCTTTGGATCCCACTTTTTAAAATTTATGATCCAATCCTCTGTCTGTTCCACAAAATACACATCTTTAGTGCCGGTGTCGTCAGGTGTAGTGCAGGTGAGTAGCCAATCAGCTGCTCACCTGGGGACTGTACCTGGTTTGGCCAGGTGAGCTGCCTATTCTCTTCACGTTGTGCCCAAGGCTGGCAGTAAAAATACGCGTGGTTGCGGGTGGACAAAATGGTTAGCCAGGGGGGCTCTGTGCCTGGAGCGGCCTCAGCGTGTGTGTTGCTTAGAAAGGACCAAGCACTGCTCACTGGAGCTCAAAGGCTCACAAATGAGCTCGGGGGCCCGGGCTGAGCCGGCTGAGAAAAGAAATCATAGGTTATTCATTCCTCGCTCCTCCCAGACTATGGTCTCCAGTGGAGGGAAAGACACTAGGTGAAGCAATAAAACCAGGTTTAAAATGGTGCCTCCAGACAAATCAAATCCATTTTTCCAGACGCTATCAAATATAATGGGGGAAAAAGCAAAGTAAAGGTAAGAATGGAAGAGGGGGGTAGGCAAGCCACACGCAAACCTTGGAGGGACCGGCCTCACTTAAAAATCTCTTCTGGAGTCAGGGCCCCATTTTGTTGCTAAGCAACCGAGCCCGAGCAAAAGGCTCCTGGGGCCTTCCCCTTCTGGTCCCCATTTCTGAAGTCAGTTATTGGGAGGAAAATGGCCTTGCATGGTGGCTGCTCCTCCAGCAGGAAGCTGCCCTGTCCTTCCCGGACATCGGGCTGGCAGAGGAGGTGATGCTAGTTTAGAGATGGGGTGCCTTCGGCGGACCCCTCCTGGGCCAGAGGCCTGACGAGCCCCCCCAGCACCTGCGGAGGCCCCCCAGCACCTGCGGAGGCCACACGCAACATAGCGTCTGCCTCCCCGGCACCACTCAAGCAAAACCACCAGAAGACCAACCGGTTTGTTTGTACACAGAGCAGTCACACTTGAGCATATGGTGTTGCAGATTCAGACCCTGGGCCTCGATTAGAATTCCAACGCCTGGGGTGCAGGTGGGGGGGACGGCGTGACGCCTGCTGGGTATCACGCAGGTAAATGTGACATCTGTTCCTCACCCATCTCCATATTTTCTAAGATGTTTGCCAAGTCCTTATTTTGAGCTAAACACGTCTAACAGGAAGAAAAACTGCCTCCCTTCTGTGCGGGCCGTGTTTTGTACTGAAACTCAGATTCCCCTTAGGAAAGAAATATTTTGAATTTTTAAAATAGTGTATTTCCAAACCCCCTTTACTACAGTGCATAACTGCCCCCCTCTTTTTCTTCCTAAGTCTGGGCACTTTCTGACGCTGCCCTCCCAGCACTGGCTCCACCCTGGTGAGCAAGGGGGAGGAGATGTGTGTATTTTTTAGGGCAGCCATTGTTGGAAAGAGTGGAGCTCTTTCCTCGGCAGCCCAGTTGTACAACAGGACTTGCAAAGATCCCCTTAACAGATGAAGTGTCGGGGTGAAAGAAAAGTTCTATTAACGCTTTACAGAATGAAACGTCGAGGAAATAGCTAGAGAGGGGAGAGAAAGGAAAAGAAAAACAATCTGGAGAAGCCCCCGTGCTCGGGGAGAGAAAACTTTTCGGTGGTTGAAGAACACATTAATTCAGAGAGGCCATCGGTGCAATGGAAATCTGGCAGAACAGCAAGAGCTGAAACTGGAAGAATCTGAATATACAAAGACTGAATGGAATGAAAAGCATGCCTCACATACGGGCTGTTTCTCACGGTTCTCTGTGAATCAGACAGAAGTGGCTTGTGTGCGTCTGTGTCATGAGGAAACGAGGGGCATGGTCAAGGTTCCTGGCGTCCACTCTGGGAGCCAGCAAGCTGATACCTCTGGGTGTCTGTCTGACATCTTTGTCTGCCTGTCTGTCTCTCCCTCTCTCTCTCATATGTATATGCCCACATGTGTGCGTGTGCACACACACACACACACACAAAACCCAGGTAGACCAGTCGGTTGTACAGCGTCACCAACGTCAGCATGCAGGCCAGGCCTTACTTTGGGTGCTAGAAGGACAGAGAGGCTTGTGTGGCTGGACAAGGGTCTTCTAATGACATACGGCAGGTAGAAAACGCAGCCCGGACATTCTGGGTGGTGTGAATGACAAAGCAAAGTAACTGATGTGAGGTGGCTGGGGACACCCAACCCTGGTTCTGATACCAGCTGTGCTGGCCATGTATTTCTGCCTTATCACAAGGTTCAGACTACGCTGTGGCATCCTGAGGGGCACGTACCGTGCACACGCCACTCTGGAGGGTCCGCAGCGGGAGCCACAATGTTAGCTCTGTGACCATGGCGGTTGGGACGGGGCTTCTCAAACTTCACCTGCCTCAGAATTTCCTGGGGGGGCTTGTTAAAACGCAGGCCCCTAGAGTGCCTGATTCAGTAGCATTTGCATTTCTAACAAGCTCCTGGCCTGTGGACCCACATTTCAGGTGCTGCTCTAAGGGGTTGAGAAAGGAACAAGAGCAAAGGTCAAAGGCACCGGGAAGAGCTGCTTCCTCCTCTTCACTTACACTCAGCACTCAATACAGGGAAGAAATTTCTCTTGCAGGAGCTACTGACGCATTTAGGTTTGGTAACCGCTCTCCCCTTTTTGTTCCCCATCTCTTGGATGTTTATACTCTAAGATCCTGAAAATGGTGACAGTAAACTATGATGGAAAAGAAGACAAGAGAGACTTCTTCGCGACAATCAAGCTGTCCCTGCATCCAATGCAAGAAAAATTCAGACTCTGCCAGGGCCCTTCCAACAGATAAACCAGCTAATGTCTGCAACAGTCGACCAACTCCATCTTGGCTAGAAAACCTAGCTAACGTTAACTTGACTTACTGTAACATGTATTCATTAGGCATTCACTGTTTGCAGAGCATCAGCCTAAGTACCAACAAGAGGCAAAACATGGAGGTCCCTGCAGACTAATTGCTTTAATGGCCTCACACCCTTTACCCTGTAATTTTGTAATTCCTCTCCCCTAAAGGCAGGGTCTATCTCACTATCCCATGTCTCTGAAGTTAACTCGTTTCGGTCAGTAAAATGG